GAGCTGCTCCCGCCATCCCACGAACTGCTCTGGCAGCTGCTCCACTCTGCTCACCGACCTGTGAGCTGCTCAGCTCTGCTCCACTTCAGCGTCCCTTGGGCCGCTCCCACAAGGCTCCGCTCTGCTCCCCAACCTGTGAGTCGCTCAGCTCCACTCTGCTAGCTGCTCCGCCAGCCACTTAGCAATATAGCTTCAGGCTCCCCCACTAGTTAACACAGCCTCAGTGATCTCAGCTCTTAATAACTTTAGCTCTTTTTTTATTTCAGCTCTTAGCAATTTCAGCTCATAGTAGGGGAGCCCCAGTGCTAGTGCACCATTGGCCCAAAGTGAATTCAGCTCAGCAGCCTGTAACTAGACTTCTAATGGAATCAAACTTAGCTCTGATATTTAACAGTGGAGAGAGGAGATAGTGCAATTGGTGTTTCAACCCCTCAGAGCAGGGGCCCATACCATCAGGTACAAAGACCTATCCCCATCCTCTCTCCATTCACTGGGAGTTGTAACCCATGCCCCTTGTCAAGCAAGTGCTACTTAGGTAATGGTGAAGGACTCACTCAGTCCTTCTGTCATACAACAGTTTCACTGGCCTTGATTCACAGAATCAGGGTAACAAAACTTTATTCTTCCTGTCCCAATAACAGAGAAAACTGGGGATCCCACACCAGCCAAAGTAACCACTTTGAGTTGCTGTTGTTTCATGCCAGGCGAGTGGGTGTGCCTATGCAAACAAGATCAGCCCCTGGAGTTCTTTTCCACACTCGCCATAATTCACCACCAGATGTCAGGGTAGAGCTCATCCTGACTCTGCTTACATATGTGCAATCCCTTCACTGTTGTAAATGATTAGTGTGATGCTCTGAACCTCAGGGGAACACCCAGCACCCCCATGTTCATCCTTGTAAAATGATTGTGTGGTATCCAATGCAAAGTTTGTCATGTCAGGTGTCTTTGGAAGGCTCGTAATGCACTGAGCTTGGTTGTTAGAGTGATGTTATAGTAATGTTATAGGTTATAATTTCATGTATATAGTTATGAGGCTGAAAATGTATCCTCATGACTTAAAATAAGCTCAGGCAAAAACTCTCCAAGAGCAGAGAGGCAGTTCACACCTCATCAGGGCGTGTATGGGACAAACCCAGCCCAGCCTCACAGGAACAAAGGACGCTGGCCTAGGCAGCAACAAAGGATCTGTTGGACTCTCGAGTGAATCACCCCCCTTCCTTTGGTCAGTTGGAGACTACAAAGAGGTAATGCTCACCTGACTCTGAAGCGGGGCGGGCGGGGGGGAGAGGCAAAGCCAACAGGGAAGAAAGGACATCATAAAAGGGAGAGATGTTTGCCATGCTGGCTCTCTCTTCCACCTACACCTACAGACACCACACCAAGCGACTGAAGTGCTGAACAAAGGGGAGAGCCTGGCTGAAGAGTAACCAGCCAGCCTGTGGTGAGAAGCATCTAAGTTTGTAAGGACACTGAAAGCGTTAAGATCAGCTTAGAATGTGTTTTGCTTTTATTTCATTTGACCAAATCTGACTTGTTATGTTTTGACTTATAATCACTTAAAATCTATCTTTATAGTTAATAAATATGTTTGCTTATTCTACCTGAAGCAGTACGTTTGGTTTAAAGCATGTCAAAGACTCTCCTTGGGACATATCAATTTCTTTGTTAAATTGACGAACTCATATAAGCTTGCAGTATCCAGCGGGCATAATTGGACTCTGAAAGACGGAAGTTCCTAGGGTTGTGTCTGGGACCGGGGTATTGGCTAGTGTAATTCGGTTGCACAATCCAAGGAGCAACTTACATGCCAGAGGCTGTGCATGAACAGCCCAGGTGTGGGGGTTCTCACAGCAGAGCAGGGTAAGGCTGGCTAACAGAGTCAAGGATTGGAGTAACTTAGCAGATCACTAGTCCAGATAACACCAGAGGGGAACATTACAATTAGGAATTAGTAACCAATTCTGTTGATGAGACAAAAAAAATACTATAATACAGGTCTCCTAAGACTGTGCTGCCTCTGCAGGGATAACAGAAGTTAAAAGCAGTAAAAATTTATTTTGTCACTAAAAACAGCAGATATAACTCTGAATAAACACACAAAGACATATCTGTTAAATGAAAAGTACTATGTTTACATAGTCACTTTTCAGAGTAGGACCACATTTTAAAACAAAGTAATACACTGATTTTATTGGAGGTTTCATTGATAGTATATACTAAGAAGAAATACTGCATCTACTTACCCTTTCCATACATCCACCACACTGAATAGCCTTGGATTTGCTGACTAGAAAGAAATCTGGTTGGTAAAGCTGTCATGCTAGGTGTCCTTTGCTACTTTTGCCAGTCAGATGGATTTTGGTGCCTTCTTTAAAGTTGTACTTGTCTGTTATTAGATCACTGGCATTAAGTCAATTATTGCCACTCTCTTTATGGTGAACCCATGTAGTGTAACTAGATGCTTCCTATTTTCTGGATTGCTTTGTTTCTTAAATTCCCTTGCTCTTTCCTTTTCTAGTCCTTCAAAAACATAATGCCAGTGATGAAGAGTCTTTCTTTAACTTTTTTTTTCACTCCCTATTTCTGCCTTTGATCAATTTGCAAAGTAAGAGTTAAATAATAATGGGGGTACTGCATGCCATTGTCACTTGGGCTTTGTCACTTTCTTCCCATCAATGTAGGCTCTAGAGAAGTGGTTGTGCTGTTCTTCCCCTTAAGAGAGTGCTGACTGTGAAGGTGCAAGTTTGCACCTAGCTGATGTGGTAGTAGGTAGGCATGCCTTTCTTTTTCAGTATTCTTTTTTTCTCAACTCCACACAGTGGATGAACACGGCCAATTTCTTGAGAGACCAATTTGGAGCGAATTTCCCAGCTTCTTTCTCTCAAAGCTGACCAAATGGCAGCCAAATGTTATTTCCAGACCTGGTGATCTCCAAATATTATCCTGGCAAATTACACAAGCCAGAAGATCTGGTTCCCAGAGAACCCACTTTGAGTCCTGCAGAGCCCAGTGTGGCAGTGAAGTAGGGTTGCCAACTTTCTACTCACACAAAACTGAACACCCTTGCCCTGCCCCATGCCCTGCCCTTCCTCTGAGGATTCTCCCATGCCCCACCCTTTCTCCAATGCCCCACCCCTGCTCACTCAATTCCCCCCCCCTTGCTCACTCTCCCCTCCCCCACTCTTTTTCATCGGGCTGGCATGGGGGTGGTGGAGTGTGGGAGAGGGTGAGGGCTCGGCTGGGGGTGAGGGCTCTGATGTAGGGCCGGGATGAGGGATTGGGGTGCAGGAGGGTACTCCAGGCTGGGACTGAGGGATTTGGGGTGCAGGAGGGTGCTCCGGGCTGGGACTGAGGGGTTTGGAGTGTAGGAGGGTGCTCCGGGCTGGGACCGAGGGGTTCAGAGGGCAGGAGGGGCATCAGGGTTGGGGTAGGGTGTTGGGGCGGGGGAGGGGGTTGCAGGCTCCATAGGTGTCTCCCGGCGCTTACCATAGGTGTCTCCCGGAAGCAGCGGCATATCCCCCTCTCCGGCTCCTATGCGGAGGTGTGACCAGGCGGCTCTGCATGCTGCCGTGTCCACAGGTGCTACCTCTGTAGCTCCCATTGGCCGTGGCTCGTGGCCAGTGGAAAGCTGTGGGGGCAGCGCTAGGGGCAGGGGCAGCATGCAGAGCCCCCTGGCTGTCCCTATGCATAGGAGCCAGAGGGGGCACATGCTAGCTGCTTCCTGGAAGCCGTGTGGTGCGGAGGCTAGCAGGGAGCCTGCCAGCCCCACTGTGTGGTGCCGCCAACCAGACAGTCAACGGCCCAGTTAGTAGTGCTAACCGGAGCTTCTGGGATCCCTTTTCGACTGGGTGTTCTGGTTGAAAATCAGACACTGGTCACCCTATAGGGAAGCCTAGAATGGTAATCTGAAAAGATCATTTTCTTCTGCAGATTTGGATTGGTAGGTGTAAGGCAGGAGGAGGATTGCCTGGAAATTATTTGTGCCTCATCCCAAGCTCTGTGGGATCATCCCCACTGTCTTAGTGTCTTCATAGGCCCAAATAACCTTTGGACTTGTGAAACATCATTACATTGAGACACTGCATTTTGCTGTGATGACATTTTAATGCAAGATGAGGAGCACAGACTGTATGGCAAGGCTAGTTTAAGTTACCCTGCTAAACCTGCAACCACAGCCACTCCAGAGCAGTGGTTCTCAACCAGGGGTACATATACTCATGAGGTCCAGGGGGGACATCAACTGATCCAGATATTTGCCTAGGTTTACAACAAGCAACATAAAAAGCATTAGCCAAGTCAGCACAAACTAAAATTTCATACAGACAATGACTGCTCTATATACTATGCATTGAAATGTAAGCGCAAAATTTATATTCCAATTGATTTATTTCATAATTATATAGTAAAAATTGAAGTAAGCAATTTTTCAATACTAGTGTGACACTTTTGTATTTTTATGTCAGATTTTGTAAGTAGTTTTAAGTGAGGTGTAACATGGGGGTACAGAAGCCAACTCAGACTCCTGAAAGGGGTACAGTAATCTGCTCCAGAGCTCCACCTTGCCAAGGTCAGGTTGAAATGCTAGTGGCTTGTTTACTGCTCATGCTCCAGCACTGCACAGTGTGGGCTATAAGGTGCTTTGTAATAACTGAGCACTCTGGAGCATTAATGCCATGAACCAGGCTGTTCCTTTCTTTATCATACCCTGGTTGGGGCATGTGGATAGACCCTCCCCCCCCTTACTCTGCATGGGTACTAGTCTAATGGTCAGAGCCTGAGTCAAGACCCAAGCAGGATAGGAGCACTAGGGCCAAGGCAGGCACAGAACCATAGAATATCAGGGTTGGAAGAGACCTCAGGAGGTCATCTAGTCCACCCCCCTGCTCAAAGCAGAACCAATACCATCTAAATCACAGGAACAATTGGGGCTGCTGGTCCTATGGTAGGTCTGGCAAGGCCTCTCAGTCAGGTGATTTGGTCACTTGGTGGTTCGCCAATACGGCCCTGACTTCTCCCCGCTGCCCCTCAGGGGTTAGCAGCAGCTCACCACTGCTGAGTCCCAGCATGCCTTGCGCTGCCACGGCCTGAGTGTGCAAGACGGAGTGCCTGATGGGAGCTGGGGCTATCCACCCTCAGCAGGTACAGGTACCTCCTGCGGCAAGATTCGGCTCCGGCCTGGGTGGGGAGGCGGCATTTGAGGCGGAGCCCGCCGGGCCGCTTCACATCTCACTTCCCACGCGCCGTGCTTGGGGGCGGAGCCTCGGGAAGAGGCGGGGCGGGGCGGAATCTCAGAGGGGCAGTCTCGGCCCGAAAGAGGCAGTGGCAAGTGGGGAGGAACGGGACCGCAGAGCGAGCGGAGCCGGAGCCGGAGCCATGGTGGCAGCGGCGGAGAGGGGTAAGAGCCGGGCGGTATAGACACCTCTCCTCAGAACTGGGGGGAGTGCTGCACCAGGTGACTGCAGTGGTATCGGGTGACCAGCCCCTCTCACATGACTGAGGTGTCACCTGACTGTTTCGCCAGAGCTGGGTCGGGTGCTTCTGCTTGCCCCTGGGTGTTGTGCACAGTCTTCTCTTCCCCAGTCCCTCGCTGGGACCTTGGACACCCGCCGTTAGGGAGGAGTTCGGGGACCCCAGTTCCCCGGGGTCAGGCCTGCTGCTGCAGGGCTTGGGACCCTCTTCTCTGGGCCCGTCTCCGCAGTGTATGGTACTCTAATTCCCTTCCCTTTACGCTGTGGGCCATGCCAGCCTACTGCTAAATCCAGGAACCTTTAGGGTTAGTGTGTTACTATGTGTATTATGGCAGCGCCTAGGAGCCCCACTAATGGAGCAAGACCCTGTTGTGCTAGGCACTGTACAAACACAGAACAACTCTGTATTTGTCCTCTCCCTTCAGGATTGGGTCCGATCCACAAGCTCAGACCAGGGGATTCCCCCAACTTGCCAGTTGTCACAGAGTTGCGCTAATATGCCACCATAGAGCCTGAGGTGCCCACAGCACCTCCACCCAATCTGGGATAGCCATCACCCCCCACTGCAGAACTCCGAATTACTTCAAAACCATGCCCTCATGGTTGCTCCAACAAGCTGCTTCTGCGTTGCCCAGGGTGGTTAACCTAACTCTATACCACGGTCTTGATATTGTTTTAACTCACTGCACCATCCCAATGCCCTATGGCAGGTTACAGTGCTGTATGTAATGGAGTGAGAGGTGATGAGCATTGGAAGAGGTCTATGCTGGTAAATGTAGTACAGTTCCCTGAAACTGTTGCTAACCCCACAACATTAACCCTGGCAATTTTTGCGTTGTTGACTATATACTTGCTAATAACTGTAAATTTCTAGTGCACTCACGGTGTATGTAGGTGCTACATATAAGAATCAGTAGAATCTGTATTATGAGAGAGAGACTATTGAATGGCATTGGGAATTAGTGTGCATGTGTGTATAATCACACATGAGTAAAAGCATTTTGCTTCCTCACATAGTTCCCTTTACAGCTTTTTAGTACTTTGAATATTTTGTATTTTAAAAATTGAATATGTTAAGACTCCATCCCCTCTGCCTGTGGGAGGCAGAAAGAGGTATGGATCAATTTGACTGGAAGAGGGGAGGGTAGATCTATCAGAGCAGGAGGGGGCAGTTTGGCTCCCAACACCTCACTGAGCCAGGGACTTGACCCCCCCACACACACACCATGCTTTTCACTACAGAGATCTGCCCTCCTCAGATTCCACCAGGCTCAAGTTGAGCTGTTCTGACAGGCTGCTGCTCAGGAGTTCAGCCACTCCAAAAGGGGCATGTTGAATCCTGAGCCACTTGCCCAGGGTCCTGGGGGACAGATTGCTGTTGCCCCCATTTCTGAAATGGCAGCCCACATAGAGAGACTCCCAGCATGCTCTGCAGCCTGCCTGTTTGTGCCATGGCATGCTGGCAGCCGCAATTCTCTATTAATTCTGCTGGTAGCTTAAGGGTTTGTGGTGAAAATTATAGCTGCCTGAGGTAGATTGGCACACTTATAGCCATTACTAAATTTCCATATAATTTGACACACATTTCACCATACTATGAATACTAAACAGAATTCTATAAACCAGTTTACAGTGACCAGTATGTCAGGTCTAATATACTCTAAAATGAATATTACTTTTATAACACCATAGGCATGCGTGATACTTTATTATACAGGTATAAAGAGATTCCTGGCCCCAAAGAGCTGGTCTGCGCAACCTTACCTTTGTGTGGAGACCCACTGAAATTAATCGGTACTGTAACAGGGTAAGGGTCCCCATCCATGCAGATCCAATTGTGGGATCAGGGCTTAAGAGAAGAACAGGAAAAATCAACACAGGGATACGAAATAGCATCTCACAATTATTAGTTAGTGTTAGTTGATATATCTATATACTGTATTTAAAATAGGGTTTTTTAATTATTAGCAGATCAAACTGACACTTGTCTGTTGTCAATGACAAACTTTCAGTGAGTTTTGAATTCTAAATATGTTACAGGATGTGTGTGTATAAAAGTCCCAAGAATGGCACAAACTTTGTCAACGTGAGCATATTTTGTAACATAGACAATAACACGTTTGTTCACTCTTCAGTTTATTACAGGTTCCTAGTGCTTTTCTTCAACTGCCTCTTGACTTTTGGCTCTTACTTCTGCTTTGATATTCCCGGTGTCCTGCAGGAGCAGTTTCAAGGGGTAAGTAACTAGGTCACAAGGGGAAAGATAAAACTTTTGCTAGGCCCCCTTGACTGCAGTCAAAATGAAGACTGGGAAAGTGGTGTATAAATTGAAAAGCAGAGATTCCCAGTCACAAACAGCGAATTAAAAAAAACATTCTAATCCAGATAACCGAGAACCTGAGAGATGTTATGCTATGAGAACAGGAGTACTTGTGGCACCTTAGAGACTAACAAATTTATTAGAGCATAAGCTTTCGTGGGCTACTGCCCACTTCTTCGGATGCATATAGAGTGGAACATGTATTTAGGGGATATATATACACACATACAGAGAGCATGAACAGGTGGGAGTTGTCTTACCAACTCTGAGAGGCCAATTAAGTAAGAGAAAAAAATTTGTTTTGAAGTGATAATCAAGCTAGCCCAGTACAGACAGTTTGATAAGAAGTGTGAGAATACTTACAAGGGGAGATAGATTCAATGTTTGTAACCCACCCAGCAATATTGTTAATCTTTCCAGCTATACTCTTAGCCCAGCAGAAGAGTCTGTCCTATCTCGGGGCCTCTCCTTTTGTCCCTCCAGACCCACGAACATGATACAGTTCTGCGGTGACCTAGAATCCTACTTTCGACGTCTCCGACTCAAAGAATATTTCCAACATACCTCTGAACAGCATACTAACCCACAGAATCCCCCGTACCAGCACTACAAAAAAAAAGGATTCTGCGTAGACTCCTCCGGACGGTCGAAACAACAGACTGGATTTCTACATAGATTGCTTCCGTCAACGTGCAAAGGCTGAAATTGTGGAAAAGCAACATCGCTTGCCCCATAACCTCAGCCATGCTGAACACGCCGCCATCTACAGCCTCAGAAACAACCCTGACATAATCAAATAGGCTGACAAGGGAGGTGCTGTCGTCATCATGAATAAATTGGAATATGACCAAGAGGCTGCTAGACAGCTCTCTAACACCACATTCTACAGACCATTATCCTCTGATCCCACTGAGGATTACTTAAAGAAACTACACCATCTGCTAAAAAAACTCCCTGACAAAGCACAGGAACAAATCTGTACAGACACATGCCTAGAACTCCGACCAGGGGTATTCTATTTGCTACCCAAGATTCATAAACCTGGAAATTCTGGACCCCCCCTCATCTCAGGCATTGGCACCCTAACATCAGGCTTGTCTGGTTATGTGGACTCTCTCCTCAGACCCTACGCTACCAGCACTCCCAGCTATCTTCGAGACACCACTGACTTCCTGAGGAAACTACAATCCATCGTTGATCTTCCAGTAAACACCATCCTGGCCACTATGGACGTAGAAGCCCTCTACACCAATATTCCACGCAAAGTTGGACTACAAGCTATCAGGAACAGTATCCCTGATAATGTCACAGCTAACCTGGTGGCTGAACTTTGTGACTTTGTCCTCACCCACAACTATTTCACATTTGGGGACAATATATACCTTCAAGTCAGCGGCACTGCTATGGGTACCCGCATGGCCCCACAGTATGCCAACATTTTTATGGCTGACTTAGAACAACGCTTCCTTAGCTCTCGTCCCCTAAC